TCGTCCTGGACGTGCCGGATGGCAGCGTATCAAAAGGAGTTCCCTTTCAGGTTTATTATGCTTGCAACATCATCTTCCTGCTGGCACCGGGCTCGATGGGCCCCGTCGGCGCGACCCCGTCGTGCGCCTTCTTGGCGTTGGCCCTGCCTTAAGGCTCTGACCTCCTGGTCCAAAGCAGAGAATCTGATGCTGGGCGGGGCAGGGCTGGACTGGGAGGTCATCTGGCTCTGGCTCGTGGCCCGGGGCCCGGTGCCGACCACCTCCCATTTTTCGAGCTTTCGGAGTTTCAGGTCGTTCTGGCTGCGGACGTGGTGGGGTACTTTTTCCGCGGGGTGCAGGCGACCTGCCTGGGCCGGACCACGGCCGGAGGGCCGTCGCAGTGAGTCTTCCCGGCTGCAGGCAGCATGGATGAAGCGCCAGATCAGCGTCACAGACCCTGCCATTTCCATCGTCATGAGCGCTCCGGCCTCAGACCGTGGCGGTATAGGCGGATGCTTGAGAAATCTACAGAGACTTGAATGCCGCACTCAGGTCTTCCCCGTTCTGGGGCCACGGGTGGATCTGCTTAAGGACGGACCTCCCCTTCTTTGCGAGTGCTCTTCCCTGTTCTCTCTCGGAAGGTCCAAGGTTCGCAGGGTGTCTTTACATTGGGGCCTCGGGCCATCAGCGCTCGCAGGATTGCCTGTTTGCTGGCGCCGTGTTCCAGCTCGCGGCCTGCCAAGCGGACGGCTCATGGAGACGCACCGCAGGCCAGTCTCCTGTAGCTCTTCGCAGAGTGGAGGAATCCTAGGTTTTGCGAGTATGGATCGTGTCCAGAAAATGCAGCCATTCAATCCTGATCTTAGTTTAAGGGATGCCGATAGGAGGTCTCGTGCAGCTTTTGTACTTTCGTCAGGCTTTCGGGTTGGGAACGCCGCGCTCCTCACCATTTTCCTGCCGGCACCGGCCTTGCATGGCCCTTACCTCTATGCGTGGTGCAGATGGGAAGAGCCAGAAATGCCAGAAATGGCGAAAGGTGCTTGTCCAGAAAGGTGGATGCAGACTGACGACGCATCCGTGCTTATGTCGGTCCGTGCCTCGTGCAAGGTTCTGGTTCGCAACGACCAGGAGCGGGGGACCCTATTTTTTTGGCCCTTTATTTCTATTTTTTTTGGCCCTCTTTTTTTTCGTCCCTCCGGGGGGGTGGCGGGAAGGCAGGCGGGAAGGAAGGAAGGAAGGAAAGCCTAAAGCGCGGAGGAAGGAAGGAAGGAAGCAAGGCAGGGAGGCAGGGAGGCAGAAAGGAAGGAAGGAAGGAGGGACGACGAAGAAGAAGGAACGAGGGGAGACTATACTATATTATATTGTATTATATTTTCTTATATATTATATTTATTTTATATACTATATTGTCTAGTATATGTTTTATATTGCATATTGGATATTTCATATAATTTATTATTTTTCATATTATATATTATATATTCTATGTTGTTTATTTATGTTATATAGAATATATCTTATATTATATAGTATATATTATTATATATTGTATATTATATGTTTTATGTTTCAAACCATATATTTCATATGTCATATTTTTATATTATGCCTTGCACATTTTATTTTTTCTATGTTATATATTACATAATTTTTTTATATCACTTATATTATATTATATTATATTATATTACATTATATTAGA